AGGGAAAGGGGAAATAAGGAATTTTTGTTTAATGGATATAAAGATTCAGTTGGACAAGATGAAAAAAATTTTGGGATTAGTTGTGCCACAATGTGAATATACTTACCTCTACTGAACTGTGAATGAAAATAGTTGATTAACATGTGAGGGAGTGTATGGCAATTTTGTTCTTGAGTGGACAGGGATATGAAAGAAAACAATTTCAGTTGTTTGTTTATGGGTTCTTTACAAAACATCGAGAGTTTTGCCTAGAGGTGTATTCATCTGGCTATCTCTGTTGTAAGGTCAGTCAGTCAGTGTCTTCCCATCAATACTTCCCACGTTGGGTAGCCAGGTCTGCACTGTCTCTCTCATTCTAACTTTTATCTTCAGCCTGTCAGTTAAGCCTGACTCCTCTAGAGAAAGAAGGGTCTCAGGCGGTAGCTGAAGTAGCTGATTGTGAGTCTGTAGGCAAGGTGACAAATAGTGACTCATCAGAGAGGCCGTGTCTCCATATCTGTGTCAGTGGCAACTCAATGAGATTGGCAGGTTTGGCACCTTGTATGGGAATTTAGGGACAGGACTTTAAGCAGGGAAGCAGGGACCAGTGGGTGGATCAGATCCCCTTTGAGTGGCTTGTGGAGCACAAACATAGACATGATATTGTTTGAGGCTGATGAGAAAAATGAAGTTGTTGCTTTTTATTTACTCCTTTATCCACATTGGGGATCATTTAAACTTTGACAGTTAATTTCGCTTTAACTTGATTTATTTAAGCAATAGTGAAAAAAGACAGCTTTTGTAAGTGTGCTTATAAAACCACTAAGCAGAGAGTTAAAAGACTTGAGCTCTAATTGCTATTTTGGTGCAGACTATTTGTGTGATGGACTCATCTGCTAAATGTGAACAATGGTCTAGCTAATCTCTGAATCCCTGCTGGTCTCCTATTACAAAGAAGGAACCTAGGTTACAATTCACGCAGAGGGATTTTCCTTCTAATGAAAGAATTTTGTTCACATAGTTCCTATTTTTTCCTTTATCGCTTTATCCACTGGACTAACTCATGAAATACATGAGTTTTCTTTCCAGGAAGGAGAATGTTTTCTTTATTGATTTCCCTTGGTCAAGATATTTTAGCACAATTTTTCTGCTCTCATTAGTCTTCATTAGAAAACATTTCCTAGTGTCTTGGAAGCAGGTCCTATGGACAGTAGTTTGTACTTCCTGATCTTGGTTTGACTTGGAAAATAGCCATCTCGGTTGATGTTTAGATAATAATTATGATTCTATTAGCAATTGAGATAAACCTTTTTCCATCCTGTAGGTGACAATGTGGAACAATGATTATGTTACAGAAAAACATAGGATTTGATTAAATACTTCCTTCTTTAGACTCCTTAATATTTTTGCATGCTGTGTAACTAGGGTTTGGTCATACAGGTTGCTAGTGATGAGGAAAAGGTGTAATTCAAGCCATTGGGAAGAAAGTCTTTTGGGGTTTATGAGAAATGAGCATAGAAGACACAAATTATGGTATATGATCAATTGTTTATTTTCAGTTTTTATGCAATTTACTTTTATGAATTCTATATGCTGAAAGGTGATTTTAATGAATACAGAATAATACACAGTTCCAATAGAAGCATAATAGAGGCACATGTACTGAGCCATAATAGTAGTATAGAAGCTATGGACTCTGGAATGATGTTTCTATAATTTTGACTCCATTTTTTATTTTTGGCATAGATTATTGTTTGAAATTGAACAGGTTCTAAATTTTAATCCCTCAAAAAATGATTACAAAAACCTATCTACCAAAATACTCATACATTTCATAATTTATCTGTCCATAACATTGCTTTCTTCCATTCACCATTTTATAGTCATAAAGATACAACCTTCCCAGAGAATGAGAAGAAACCATCACCAAAGTAGAGAAATAGGATAATATGTTAAAAAGATAATAGAAGATAACCTCTGTGAAAGTATAAAGAAACATTCTTGATTCAAATTTGTGTTGTTCCTTCTCCTACTCTTTGAATTCATTATATTTCTATTGTATCTCACTCATAATAATAGTGTTGTTGAGACTGACAAAAACCCAGCTGCTTTAAACTATCACTTGACTGATCATATATCACAGGGTTTATATAACTGTCTGATGTATTGGACCTTGAAAAGTCTCCTCCATATAGAGGTGTGCCTTTAAATTCTACATGACTGGATTTAGGTATTCCAGCCTTGGTATCATTGGCCTGAATAATATTCACTCCATGGTGTCTACTGTAACCAGAATGAGATGAAATATCTCCATGTACATTCCTAGAGTTTCTGAAGCTATCTGCTGCCTGTTCAAGGTGGTGTCCCGGTCTATGTGTACTGCCTGTTCCTGACAACCCATGGGAAGATACGGACTGCCTGTGGGTGGCTGTTTGCCCTTGAGGAGACCCCGAGTGCCTAGGGCTATCTCCTGATTGTCCATGGGAGGATGCATGCGGAAGCGTTGAACTGGATCCACTCCCCACACGGGTCGAGGAGGATGGTCTACTTGAATTTTCGCTGTCGCTGGCCTGACTGCTACTGGAGCCCCTTTGTCTGGTTGACCTGGATCCCGAGGACGATGGTCGGTGTCCAGTGCCCGAGTGTCTGCGGCTGTCAGGTGACTGCTCATGCTGGGATTGTGGTCTTCCTCTTGAGCTCGATCCTGACTGCCCATGGGATGAGGCGTGGTGTCCCGCGGAGGATGTCTCGGCATGATGCGAGCCTGATTGTCTGGAGGTGTCTGCAGACCGTCCATGACTAGATCCCTGTCTTCTTCTGGCATCAGAGTCTGAGTGTCCCTGGGTGTGGTCAGAGTGCCCATGCTGGGCTTGCTGCCCTCGATGGGTACCAGAGTGTCCAGAACTGTGTCCTGACTGGTCATGGGTAGACCCATGGTGGTGTGTGGAACTGGATCCAGCCCTGTCATGGGTTGAGCCAGATTGTCTACCTGAATGTGCAGACTGTCCTTCGCTGTCGCTGGCCTGACTGCTACTGGAGCCCCTTTGTCTGGTTGACCTGGATCCCGAGGACGATGGTCGGTGTCCAGTGCCCGAGTGTCTGCGGCTGTCAGGTGACTGCTCATGCTGGGATTGTGGTCTTCCTCTTGAGCTCGATCCTGACTGCCCATGGGATGAGGCGTGGTGTCCCGCGGAGGATGTCTCGGCATGATGCGAGCCTGATTGTCTGGAGGTGTCTGCAGACCGTCCATGACTAGATCCCTGTCTTCTTCTGGCATCAGAGTCTGAGTGTCCCTGGGTGTGGTCAGAGTGCCCATGCTGGGCTTGCTGCCCTCGATGGGTACCAGAGTGTCCAGAACTGTGTCCGGACTGGTCATGGGTAGACCCATGGTGGTGTGTGGAACTGGATCCAGCCCTGTCATGGGTTGAGCCAGATTGTCTACCTGAATGTGCAGACTGTCCTTCGCTGTCGCTGGCCTGACTGCTACTGGAGCCCCTTTGTCTGGTTGACCTGGATCCCGAGGACGATGGTCGGTGTCCAGTGCCCGAGTGTCTGCGGCTGTCAGGTGACTGCTCATGCTGGGATTGTGGTCTTCCTCTTGAGCTCGATCCTGACTGCCCATGGGATGAGGCGTGGTGTCCCGCGGAGGATGTCTCGGCATGATGCGAGCCTGATTGTCTGGAGGTGTCTGCAGACCGTCCATGACTAGATCCCTGTCTTCTTCTGGCATCAGAGTCTGAGTGTCCCTGGGTGTGGTCAGAGTGCCCATGCTGGGCTTGCTGCCCTCGATGGGTACCAGAGTGTCCAGAACTGTGTCCGGACTGGTCATGGGTAGACCCATGGTGGTGTGTGGAACTGGATCCAGCCCTGTCATGGGTTGAGCCAGATTGTCTACCTGAATGTGCAGACTGTCCTTCGCTGTCGCTGGCCTGACTGCTACTGGAGCCCCTTTGTCTGGTTGACCTGGATCCCGAGGACGATGGTCGGTGTCCAGTGCCCGAGTGTCTGCGGCTGTCAGGTGACTGCTCATGCTGGGATTGTGGTCTTCCTCTTGAGCTCGATCCTGACTGCCCATGGGATGAGGCGTGGTGTCCCGCGGAGGATGTCTCGGCATGATGCGAGCCTGATTGTCTGGAGGTGTCTGCAGACCGTCCATGACTAGATCCCTGTCTTCTTCTGGCATCAGAGTCTGAGTGTCCCTGGGTGTGGTCAGAGTGCCCATGCTGGGCTTGCTGCCCTCGATGGGTACCAGAGTGTCCAGAACTGTGTCCGGACTGGTCATGGGTAGACCCATGGTGGTGTGTGGAACTGGATCCAGCCCTGTCATGGGTTGAGCCAGATTGTCTACCTGAATGTGCAGACTGTCCTTCGCTGTCGCTGGCCTGACTGCTACTGGAGCCCCTTTGTCTGGTTGACCTGGATCCCGAGGACGATGGTCGGTGTCCAGTGCCCGAGTGTCTGCGGCTGTCAGGTGACTGCTCATGCTGGGATTGTGGTCTTCCTCTTGAGCTCGATCCTGACTGCCCATGGGATGAGGCGTGGTGTCCCGCGGAGGATGTCTCGGCATGATGCGAGCCTGATTGTCTGGAGGTGTCTGCAGACCGTCCATGACTAGATCCCTGTCTTCTTCTGGCATCAGAGTCTGAGTGTCCCTGGGTGTGGTCAGAGTGCCCATGCTGGGCTTGCTGCCCTCGATGGGTACCAGAGTGTCCAGAACTGTGTCCGGACTGGTCATGGGTAGACCCATGGTGGTGTGTGGAACTGGATCCAGCCCTGTCATGGGTTGAGCCAGATTGTCTACCTGAATGTGCAGACTGTCCTTCGCTGTCGCTGGCCTGACTGCTACTGGAGCCCCTTTGTCTGGTTGACCTGGATCCCGAGGACGATGGTCGGTGTCCAGTGCCCGAGTGTCTGCGGCTGTCAGGTGACTGCTCATGCTGGGATTGTGGTCTTCCTCTTGAGCTCGATCCTGACTGCCCATGGGATGAGGCGTGGTGTCCCGCGGAGGATGTCTCGGCATGATGCGAGCCTGATTGTCTGGAGGTGTCTGCAGACCGTCCATGACTAGATCCCTGTCTTCTTCTGGCATCAGAGTCTGAGTGTCCCTGGGTGTGGTCAGAGTGCCCATGCTGGGCTTGCTGCCCTCGATGGGTACCAGAGTGTCCAGAACTGTGTCCGGACTGGTCATGGGTAGACCCATGGTGGTGTGTGGAACTGGATCCAGCCCTGTCATGGGTTGAGCCAGATTGTCTACCTGAATGTGCAGACTGTCCTTCGCTGTCGCTGGCCTGACTGCTACTGGAGCCCCTTTGTCTGGTTGACCTGGATCCCGAGGACGATGGTCGGTGTCCAGTGCCCGAGTGTCTGCGGCTGTCAGGTGACTGCTCATGCTGGGATTGTGGTCTTCCTCTTGAGCTCGATCCTGACTGCCCATGGGATGAGGCGTGGTGTCCCGCGGAGGATGTCTCGGCATGATGCGAGCCTGATTGTCTGGAGGTGTCTGCAGACCGTCCATGACTAGATCCCTGTCTTCTTCTGGCATCAGAGTCTGAGTGTCCCTGGGTGTGGTCAGAGTGCCCATGCTGGGCTTGCTGCCCTCGATGGGTACCAGAGTGTCCAGAACTGTGTCCGGACTGGTCATGGGTAGACCCATGGTGGTGTGTGGAACTGGATCCAGCCCTGTCATGGGTTGAGCCAGATTGTCTACCTGAATGTGCAGACTGTCCTTCGCTGTCGCTGGCCTGACTGCTACTGGAGCCCCTTTGTCTGGTTGACCTGGATCCCGAGGACGATGGTCGGTGTCCAGTGCCCGAGTGTCTGCGGCTGTCAGGTGACTGCTCATGCTGGGATTGTGGTCTTCCTCTTGAGCTCGATCCTGACTGCCCATGGGATGAGGCGTGGTGTCCCGCGGAGGATGTCTGGGCATGATGTGAGCCTGTTTGTCTCGAGCTGTCTGCAGTCCGCCCATGTGTAGGTCTCTGTCTTTTTTTCCCACTTGTGTCTGAATTTCCATGGATAGACTCAGATGGCCCTAGATTGGCTGTCTTCCCTTGATGGGACCCTGAATATCTAGAGCTATCTCGTGACTGGCCATTGGCAGATCTATGCTGGTTTCCTGAACCAGACTCTGATTGTGACTCTGAATCTTCTAAGTTTTCCTCGTTATCACTGTTCTGATTATTGCCTATCCCTAGGTATCTGACTATTTTGGCATTAGAGGTGTAATGTTCATACTTATTTTGTGACTTTTTGTTTTTCTGACCTGTATATCTCTCCATTCTTAAACTTTCTTCTGTTGAATTTAACTCTAAATTTTCAGTATTGTTGTTTTTTCCCAATTGATTGTCCTTTTTTCTGTAAGTATTTTCTTCACGTGCATATGAGTCACTATATCTTGTTTTTTTCAATTTTTGACACCGTGATTCTGTGTTTTCATAATTAATTTCATCATCTTTGCCTCTATTTTCCCTGTTTGGGCTAACACTTGAGTGTTGCCTTCTTCCTTGTACTTCAGTAGAACTTGACCTACTTTTCCTTTTTCCTCTTTTGTCGTGATTTTTTCCATCATATGTGTCTCTATGTCTGCAAAGAGATGTATCACCTTTTTTAGTTTTTCTTTCAGAGCTAGACCCATGCCTTTTCTCCCCTCTTCCTCTTGGGCTTTTGGATCTTGCTTTCCCACCCTTCCTGTCACTCTTTGAATGCCTGGATTTTCTCTCTCTATCCTCTTCCTCTTCTTTTTCTTTTATATCATGTTCTCCACGTTTCTTTTGGTGTTCCTTCTTTTTCTGCTTTTGTCCTGATGCTTGGAAATTCGGTCTCCTTTTAGAGTGATAGTATGCTTTAGCCAACTTGAACACCATCAGAAAAAATTCTTCAAAGTCTAATTTCTGGTTGTGGTCTATGTCAAGGATATCCATGAATACTTCAGCAGTGTCTGGGTCATCTGGATTCTGTACAGAAGATATACAGAAGGGAGGGTCCATTAGGCAGACTCACATGGTCAAATAAATAATGCAAAGTCAATTTAGGGAATGTGAATTTTTGCTACTTAAATTGAAAACAAATCAGGTGTTTTTTTACTTAAGATAGTTTAGCGTATTGTGACTCTGGAGAAAATTAGAGGTAATAGAGTAAAAGAAACAAATATTAAATACATGTGGTGACATGAAGAGATTTGTTGGCCAAGTTCCTTTTTCCTACTTCAAATATCAAAAGGTTATAAAGCCAATAATTGAACTATCTTTTAAACATACTATCTTAATGTTCATTATGTATGAAGACTATTGTGAAGGTCTAACTAATTGGTATTTCTTTCTTTCTTTTTTTTTTAAAATATATTTTATTGATTTTTTACAGAGAGGAAGGGAGAAAGATAGAGAGTCAGAAACATCGATGAGAGAGAAACATCGATCAGCTGCCTCCTGCACATCTCCCACTGGGGATGTGCCCGCAACCCAGGTACATGCCCTTGACCGGAATCGAACCTGAGACCTTTCAGTCCGCAGGTTGACGCTCTATCCACTGAGCCAAACCGTTTTCGGCGGTATTTATTTCTTTGTCATTAAATATTCATATTATCATCCTTCATAGAGGGTATGTGTACAGTGGATATAAAGATATAAAGGGAGAAAACAAATTTATATCTGTTTTGAAATGCGATCAATTCAATTTTGTGAGATTATTAATGAATCCTGAGGTGTTATACTCTAATCCTGGCAAATATCTTTACCTTCAGGATTGGGCCAAGCTCTATTTCCAGAAGTTCCTTCAGCTCTTCTTTGCTCAGTGTGTCAGTTTCTTTGTCTGTTTTTGAATATTGTTGGAATAGGTCAATGATGGCAATGACGTTTTCCAGAAGAGTAGACATCCTTTCGAAATATAGGTGAACCTAGAAAGAAGAAATAAAAGTTTACTTTTCTTGTACTATTTTTTTTAGGTCATATCAATTATTATTGTGACTTTTCACATTTTAAACCTACATTATCTCCTAAAGTTCATCTTTTAAAATGGAAGTTAGCTATGAAAACTTAGCGTTACTATGTGCATAGTGAAAATCAACAGAGAGTTTGAATGAATTATGAAACCTGTCTATTTCTTGTTCATGAACCTATTTATAGCAGGATTTAGATAGTCTCATAGACCTCACTGTGCTCTAGATAAGACCATCCTTCTTGCCCATAGTAGGATAGTAGGAAGCCACTGATCAGAAGCAGCAGAATTTACTCATACCAATTTGCTGAAAAATCAATTCTCTAGAAGCAAATTTGCTAACTGATTAGCTTGAGAGATAATTTCCTGAAAGCCAAGTGACTGAGACTCTAATTGAACATTCTTTTTCTTTTCCCCAACAATTCATGATGGTTACAATTGAATGGTATGACTTTAATGGATTTTCCATACTATAAAAAATTTTTTGTTGACTGGCTCTTACTTTGCCACAAGAAATAGCATGGCTTATAGAGTTTTGGAAATATTTTAGACCAATTAGAAATTTTGTGGTAAAGGGGATATTTGGGTTTAAAATGGAAAACCAGGAAGGAACTAACCTTATTGATTAGTTGAAGACTTTGAGGTAAAGGGAGTTGTGCAATGTATCTAACATGGGCATCCTTAGTGCTGCCACGGAAGCAGGAGAGGCTCTTGCCACTGATGCTGCACTTGCAGCCATTAGCCCAGCTTGTGGCTGAGCGGAGCTCCCCTTGTGGGAGCTCACTGACCACCAGGGGGCAGCTCATGCGTTGAGCGTCTGCCTCCTGATGGCCAGTGTGTGTTATACCGACTGGTTGTTCCCAGTCATTCCGTTGTTAGGGTCAATTTTCACATTTCCCTTTTATTATATAGGATGATCCTAGTTGAAAGCTCAGCAAGGCAGAGAGAATGAAGAAAAAGTAAAAGAGCAAATGTATGGGGAAATAAAAATAGATAATGATTGCATAAAATCAGCAGCAGCAGCATCATATCTTTCAGGATTTAGGATTGATAGAACTAAGATACATAACAATCCTATATAATAAAACCCTAATATGCAAATCAACTGAATGGTGGAATAACTGGTCACTATGATGAGCACTGACCACCAGGGGGTATTCGCTCAGGAGCTGCTCCCTGGTGGTCAGTGCACTCCCACAGCGGGAGCGCCGCTCAGCCAGAAGCTGGGCTCACAGCCGGCAAGCGCAGAGGTGGTGGCAGGAGTCTCTCCTGACTCTGTGACAATGCTAAGGAACAGCGAGCTGAGCAGTAAGGAACAGCAAGTAAGCGGGCGGTAAGGAACGAGGAGTCCCAGACTGTGAGAGGGACCCCGAACTGTGAGAGGGATGTCTGACTGCCAGCTTAGGCCTGATTCCCGGCCTAAGTTGGACATCCCCCGAGGGGTCCCAGAGTGTGAGAGGGCACAGGCCGGGCTGATGGACCTCCCACCCCAGTGCATGAATTTCATGCACCCGGCCTCTAGTATCAGATAAGGCTAGAGAGGGTAAATGGAGTCCAAGTATTGTAGGATACTTGAATGTTTGAGTTTGGTTAAAGTATTTTTTAATATACTCAGTAACTTGAGGACAGATGCTGTTCTTTCTAGGGCAAGCATAAAAATAAGAGTAAGGAAATATGTAATTAATAGTCTAGTATGTGGAAAGTTAACTAACAAATACTTAATTCATCCAAAAAAGTCAAGAAGAGAAAAGGAAAGTAAAACAGGTGAGATAATAGAAACCTACTAATAATATGGTAAATTTAAATCCAATAGTACAGTAATAACAATGACTATAAATGGACTAAATACTCATTTAAAAACGAAGTTTGTCGGTCTAGCATTTAAAAAAACTGTATGCTGCCTATAAGAGACACACATTAAATATGACAATAGTTGAAAGTAAGAGGATAGAAAAGGATAGTATTAAACATTAAAATAATTCTGTTGTTACTATGTTAATATTTGTAGAATAGACTTTAAGGCAAAAAGCACTGCTAGGGGCATATTTCATACCAATCAAAGGTCAATTCATTAGAAAGATATAAAAAATCTAAGTTGATATGTACCTAATAACATAGTCTCAAAAGACATAAAACAAAAACTGATGGAATTATAAAAAGGACTAGACAAATCTATAATCAAAGTAAGTAAACACACCTCTCTCAGCAGCCGATAAAACAAAAGAACAAAAATTGTAATGATATAGCTTTCCACAAAATTATTAATTAAAAACATTAACATATTGAACACTGCACCTAACAAATCTAGAATACACATCCTTTTGAAATAACCATGAAACATTTTAAAATTTACTGTATGCTGGTTCATAAAGCAATTTTCAACAAATTGTAAAGTATTTAAATAAGTAGAAAATTATGCTTTGTTCATAACCTCAGTGTTGTTAAGATGTCACTATAAATTCACATAGAGATGTAATAAAATCCCATTCAGAACATCTGAAGGGTTTTTTTTATGTGACATCTTTGGAGAAGTCACATTTTCTTTTTTTAAAATAATTTTTAAAATATATATTTTTATTGATTTCAGAGAAGTAGAGAGATAGAAACATCAGTGATGAGAGAGAATCATTGATTGGCTGCCTTCTGCATGTTCCATATTGGGGATTGAGCTGCAACCTGGGCATACACCCTGACAGAGAATTGAACTGTGATCTCCTGGTTCATAGGTCGATGCTTAACCACTGAGACACGCCGGCTGGGCCCTCTGAAATTTTAAAAGTAAATATTGATAAAGTAATTTCTAAATTTTATATGAAGGCCAAGATGAACCAAGACAACTTTGATGAAGACAGACTTTGTGGATATACTAGTCCTAGATGTCAAAGTGTATTATAAAGGAAGACAGCATGGCATCAGTGGAAAGCTGAACAAATGGATCAGCAAAAGGTAATATAGTCCAAAATCCGACATATATCACTCTGGACATTTGATTTATGACAAAGGTGATGGTGCTGAGTTCATTGGATTTCCATAAGAAAAAAAAATTAGTTCTCAGGTGGATCTTACATGTAAAAGTAAAAGAAGATAACATAGGAGAATATCTTCAAGAACTTGGGTAGAAAAATACCTTTTAAATAAAACTCATAAAGAGAAAAATTAAACTGCATTAAAAGTAAGAATCCTTGTTAAAGCAGAAAAATCCACAGAGTGGAAGCATATATGCAACACATGTAACAAATAAAGAGCTGTTTGACACCAAGCTTAGTAATATTTTCTTGGATCTGTCTCCATGGGAAAGGGAAAAAGAAGCAAAAATAAACAAATTAGACTACATAAAAACTAAAACGTTTTTGCACAGTGAAGGAAGCCATCAACAAAATGATAACTTACTAAATGGGAGAAGAGATTCACAAATGATAAGGGGTTAATATTCAAAATATATAAGGAACTCACACAACTTAACATAAAAATAATAAGCAATACAACTTATAAAGTGAGCAGGTGATGTGAATAGACATTTGTCCAAAGAGCATGTACAGACAGCCAACACACCAACAGACATACCATCAGGGAAATGTAAATCAAAACCACAATGAGATATCACCCAACTGTTGTCAGAATGGCTATTATCAAAAAATCAACAAACAACAAGTGTTGGCAAGGATGTGGAAAAAAGAAAAGATTTGTGCACTGTTAGTGTGATTATAAATTAATGCATCTACTATGGAAAACAGTATGAAAATTACTCAAAAAAGTAAAAATAGAGCTCCCATATGACACAGAAATACCACTGTTGGGTATCTATCTGAAGAAAACAAAAACACTACTTCTAAAAGATATATGCACCCTTCTGTTCATTGCAGCATTATTTACAATAGCCAAGGAGATATGGAAGCAACCAAGGTGTCTATTGATCAATGAATGGATAAAGAATATATGGTACAGATATATAATGAAATATTTCTCAGCAATAAAAAAGGAATGAGATCTTGCCATTTTCAACAATAGGAATGGATTTAGAGGGTAATTTTGCCAAGTAATATATGTCAGACAGAGAAAGATAAATACCACTTATCTTTCTTCACTTATTTGTGCGAGCTAAAAAATCAAAAAACAAATGAATAAACCAAACCAAACAGAAACAGATCCATAGATACAGAGAACAAGCTGATAATTGCCAAAGGGGAGGGAGGTGGGTAGATGGTGAAAAAAGATGGGGATAGCAACTAGATTTTGGCTCTAGCAAAGATTTTTTTCTCACCATTTCTATTATTCCCATCATCTCTTACCTAAAACTACAGCCCATCCATCTCTCTGCTCTGACTCTTGTGGTCTTATTATCCCTTTTTCCACTTAGCAGCCCAGAATGATATTTTTAAAACATGCCCTCAATTGTGTTATTGTCCCAGTCAATGACTTCTCATATACTAAAAATGATGTACAAACTCTGCTATCCTCCTTCTTATATGGTCTACCCCAGTCTGTCTTTCTGACATCACCATATACTCCCTGTTCCTCTAGTTAAATATCCTCTAGGCACACCAGCTTCTTTATTTCTTCAAAATAGTTTACTTCTGCTTTAAAATCTTGCCCCTTGCCTTGACTGGTTCTTTTTGTCTTTAAGATCTCAGCTCAAAAGATGATTTGCTAGAGAGGTATTTCCTGGCCATTCTTTTTCTGCATCTAAAGTTCTCTCCTCTTATTATTCTACCTCATCACTCACTTATTTTCTTCATTATTTTTATTACTCTGAAATTTTATTTATTCATCATTTACTGAAAGTCTTCCCCTACTAAAATGTAACCTCTTAAGAGTAGGGAGATTATCTTGTTCACTGTTGCATAATCATTTAAAAGCAGCACTTGGCAAATATAAGGTAGTTAATATATATTTGTTGAATGAATGAATAAATGGAAACTACAACAATATGAAGAGAAT